CAATAGCAATAGCATAACCAGGAAGGTTGTGTATTTTGTGAATGTGTGGTTTGAGCCAGTTATTGATCATAATTGCAATACCAGCTTTTGGGCTGTTGCTGCATGACCAGTAGTTGTAAAATGTTTGAATTTTTGCAGTTTTGTTATTGCATTTGTGTTAGCTATTTTATTTTCAGTAATGCTAACTATATTAAGGTTGTTTGTTAGACAGAAGTTCTCCCACATTTGTTGTTTAAAGTCTTCATTATAGCCTCAAACATTGTGGATACTGATTAATAGCTCAAGAGGTTTAATAACAGGAGTAGATTGTAAATTTTCATTTATTGAGTTGGAGGGCTGAGGTGTGATTGTATATTCAGAGAAGAGTATGTTATTTGTGTTTATGGTTTTAAAGTATTTAGAGGTTTTGCATTTGCTTTGTGATTTGAATTTAGTATTAGTAGATGCATGATCAACAGTTTGAGAGTTAGGTTATAAAAACAATTATTACAGATTACAACTTGTAAAAGCAATTAGTATATTAATTATTCATTGTTGCTTTGGTTTTGCACTATGTTTATTTAGATAAAAATGTCTTAAAAATTATTAAATTTTTTATTTTTATTAGATATTGTAATTTTATTATTTAAACATTATAGCATATAATTATGCATTAATAATTAACTCACAAAAAATGAATTATTCAAGTTATACATTAATGAGTCCAATCACTATACAGTATTAAAGTACCAAATACATATATATATATATATATATATATACTAATTTATATTTAATAATAGAACTTGGTACCATATAGTCAAATTATACAACAAAATTTAAAAAATACATAATTTCATCCTTCTTTTGTGTCAAAAATATTCAACTTTGAAACAATTATAAAATGTAATGGTTGCCAATCATTTTTTATATGATATCCTAATAGTCTTTGTCTTGTATGTGGTTTTTATATAAAACATAACTACTTTCAACAGATTCCAAATCAAGTTTATTAAAAAAAAAAAGATATATCTGATTCAAAAAATATAATGCTAGATGCAATTATTAGTAAGATATTTGGATTTACTAAATTTAAACCAAAACAAAAAGATAGTATCAATTGTTTTATTGAAGAAAATGATACTTTATATATTTTGCCAATGGGTGAAGGAAAAACTTTAGTTTATACTGCCTTAGCTTTATTATTTACTGGATTAACTGTAGTTTTTATACCACTAAAAGCATTAATGAGAGATCAAATAGTAAATAGATATAATTATTTAATTAGATTAAATATTAATTTTATTTCAAATATACTTATTTAATTTTTGAATTTACAAAATAGCAAAAACTGATAAATAAAGACATTCCATTAGCTATATTATACACATCCTCTGAACAACTATATAATTTTCAAGAAGCAATCTTTTCTGAAATTTCCTTAGGGTTTATACAAATTCCACTTGTTACATCAGAAAAATATATTAAAAATCTAGCATTTGTTTGTATATTACAAAATATTGCACATAGTCATAGAATACAATTCATTGTTAATAAGGCTTACTATATAAATAATTATACTTATTTTTAGTAAGTTATATATATTAAAAAAACAATTTAATTTTCGGTATATATATACTTTACATTATACAGTATCAGACATTAGTGATGCCTTAGAATTGTTCAATAATAGTTATCATATTGCTGTAACTATAGCAAGTAATATAATAAGTTATAGCTATAAGCTCATAATTTACTATATTACTTGCTATAGTTGCGACAAGTTATGGCAATGTGACAACTATCATTAGAATAATACTACCAGATAACAAAAATATCTATATACTTTTTATATATAAAATATAAAAATACTTATAACTCAAAAACAAATAACTTTAAAAAAATCTGTTTTACAGATTTGTTGCTTTTTGTCTTAGCTACAATTCTGTCAAAATAGATTTTTATTTTTATGATAAAATTAAAAGTTATTAGAACTTAAGGGTAGGGTAGAGGCCTGCGTTGGGTCCCGCAGCCCGGCCCGGCCCGGCCCGGCCCGCAAATTTTTGCGGGCCGGGCCGGGCC